AGAGAGAGAGATACAGTGTATAATGAGAGACAGAGAGGGACAGTGATAGTGAGAGATAGAGCTAAATGAGTATGATATAAAATACAGAATTGGAAAGGTTAATGAAAATATTCTAGAACGCTTTACCTAAATCATGCGCTTTGGAAACACAGATTTCTACATTGTCATGCCAATAAAGCTGATTTAATTTGATTTGACTACTCCTTACTGTTGCTTTAGGGATCCCTGTACTTCAGAAATACAATTTATAACATGTATCGTGCCTCCTTCCCTCTCTCTCTCTCCTCTTTTGTCTCTTTTTTGTCCTTCCTTTCTCCATCTCATTACAATGTTTAGCTGGCCAGCTGCATCAAAATATCCTAGTTCTGGCAGATCCTTATTTAATGTTTGTTCTTGTGATTTTAATCACTTACCTCAGAACTCAGTGTTCTGAGTATTATATTTACTGGCAGTCCCTGACATTTAAAGTGTTTATATGATTCCATAATAATACTTAATAGATAATTAGATGAATCTATCTACCTATCTATATATCTCTCTCTTTCCCTCTCTATTTCTCTAAGAGTGAAGTGTGAAAGAGCCATAGAGTGGAAATAGAATAAAATGGACTATGATTAAAGTGGGTCAATGTGAGTTTTTGGAAGGCCAATTTAGAGAGATCTACATCAGTGAACAGCACAAATGATAAAGATATGACCAAATGCCTTAGTTTCATCTTGCATTGGCTAAAGCGAATACAAGCAATAGTTTAAGGTGGTATTTGCATGATTTGGAGGCAGACTGGATGTGGGGAGAAAAGTGAAACTTAAATTGAAAGTAACTTCAAGGCAGAGAATCTGGAGGTTATGGTAACAGGTGTTACATTGACCTCCATGTAGATAAATCGAGGTGGAATAGTTGAAGAGAGAAAGATGAGAAGTTCAGTTTTAGAAAGGCTAAGCTTTAGAAAATGGGAAGACTTCTAATTACAAAGACAAAATAGGAAAGAAAAAGGAGTGACATATTCCAGGAGGCCAGACAAGAGTTTGGGGAAGAGAGGTATATCTCTGTGTGATTGGCAAGTAGATGGTACGGACATCCAAAGGAGGTGATAAGGTGGGCCTACAAGAGTTAAGGGAAGAGAGGTATATCTCTGTGTCATTGAATGAGCTCTGTAAATGAGTCAGGATAGTACATTGTCACAGAGGCCAAGAATGTGGAGAAGGGGAGAGTTGTCAAAAGCAGCAGAGATGCTGAAGAAAATTAAAAGAGAATAATGATTAGATTTAGTGGAAAGTACATAATTAGGCACTTTAGTAAGAACTGTTTCAGGTGAATGACGATAACGAAAACCAGACTGAATAAGGTCAAAGAGAGTGTTATTACTTAAAAAGTGAGTTGAGTGGGTGTATACAAGGAGCTCTAGAAGGTTAGAAGTGAAGTTGGCATATGGCATGGTAATATAAAGGTGAAGTAGTGTCAAATGATGGCGTTGTTAGGATGGGATTGATGATTGCATGTGTGAGGGATATGGGAAAGGCATTGGAAGATAGATAGACTGAAGATATGTGTTAGGTGTGGTACAAGACTGGTAGAAAGGTGTGGTACAAGACTGGTAGAAAGGTCCACAAGGACAAGTGGTTGGGTGAGAGGATAGATGATATGCAGAAACATCCTGTTCAGAGACAGGTGGAATGAATTTAAAGCGGAGTAAGGAACAGAGTTGAAGTTAAGAGATGAGGGCAGGAAACGGGGAGATAGCATTCCTAATTGGTTCAATCTTGTCAGTAAAGTGAAATTCAAAATCTCTGATGGTGAGACCAGTATGGGAGGGATTGCAGTGGGGGTAGAGTAAGCCGTTATGGTTGTTAAAAAGATGTTTTGGGGTCATAAGAATAGGCACGATGATAATTGTTTGGAAATAGAGAGTGCAGAGCTATAAGAACGTAGCATTTATTTGTAACGAAGATAATGAACACAGTCTGGTGTATTGCAAAATCTTCTTCAATAATGTTTTTTTATTTTTTTAATTCTTTGTTTATACTCAAGTAACTGGTGTGAGACATTATTTATTAGTACAAGTACTGGCATATGAGAGAAACATTAATATGTAAACAATGAGATGAAATGTACAGTAGTAAAGATTCCAGTGGGAAGGATTGATTGGACCATGCCTCCTCCATAATGTCGCGGGAGGCGGAGAGGTGAGCAGCGCCAGGGGAACCTCAGTGCTGAAAAAAGGTTAGTAAATAAGCTATTTATTTATGTATTTATATATATTGCAAACAGGTTGGGGGGATCTATATCTAGCTAGGGATGCATTAGCGTTCCTTTAAGGAGCTAGATATTTCATAGTGTTACAGAAGAATCTTGTATTTCAAAGATTTACAGCGAAAATATGGTATGGATGTGGGATGACATGGTACATATACACATGGAGGCATTTTGGGTATTAGAATTGGCTGCAGAGGGTCCAGGATCGGGGACGCATCCAAAGCTGAGAGAAAGAGCCAAAATGGGACATTAAAGGAACACTAAAAGGTCACAACAAACATGTGCTCCTAGCCCTATAGTGTTTAAAACCCTATCTAGCCCCACTGACCTCCCTAAATATAATAAAATATTACCTTTATTCTAGTCTGCTGGTGCTGGCTCTGCACTTGATCTGCCTCCTTGGCTGACATAGGAAATTGGATTGGCTAAGATTGCCAATTCTGATGATCTCAGCCAAGGAGGCAGGCCTGGCGGTGGAGCCAAATGCAGCCCAGGCCATTCGTGGGATAAAAGAGGAGATGAAGGGAAAATAGATGGGTAATATGGATGGTGTGTGCAGGATATGTAAAGAAAATACATATTAAAAATGGTAAATGTAAAAAAACAACTATCAGACAGGAAGATAGAAATTGGTGAGAGGGAATGATGGAGTGTGAACAAGGCATATAATTGTGTGGTTTTAGCAGATTACCTTTATCATAGAATCAGCAAAGACAAGCAAAGAGGTGGTTGGAAGGCTAGTATTTAGACTGTGGCTGTAAAAAGAGACAGATTAGAGATAAAATAGGTGCAGTTTTCATAGGGGTCAAGTAATTGGATTTAATGGTCCACAGGTCTGACATAGAACAGAGATATACCCGATGCCATATATAATATGGGTGAACTATTCTACCCGTAAACTAAGCATATAAAATAGAAAAAGACATAAAACAGATTAAAACAGCACATGAGGAGAGGTGTAGTCTGATTATCCCAGGTATGTCTTACAGCGTTTTAAGGTAAATCAGCCTCGTGATAACTACTGCTTTAGCCTTGCTGACTTTCTCAGTAAATTCCCAGGAGCCCTTCCAAGTGTGTCTGCTCTCACATTTAACTTGTCTCCCCTCAATCCATTTTTAACATTTCCAATATATCACAATCTCTTTTAAATATCTTTCTCGGTCCCTGTACTATATATATTTTAAATCCAGTTATTGCCCACCATTTATCTGCTATCTCTCTCTCCCTTTATACAGTATTTATCTTGCTTTCAATCACTCTCTCCTTCTATATCTCCCCTCTACCTCATATACCCCTTATCTCCGTACTTTTATTTTTTTCCTCGTTTTGCTCCCTTAATTTTATATTCCTCTCTAAAACTTTTCTCCCTATATTGCTCTTTCCATTCTATATTTATTTCCCTTTCTGCATATTACTACCAAATCTCTAACTATTCAGAATATATCTCTCTTTATCCTTCAATGATCTCATCCCTTCCTATGTGTCATTTCTATATTTCACTGCCCCTAACTCTCTTCCCTTTGTCCTCCAGTCAGCTCTCTATATTTTATGTTTCATGTCTCTTCCCAATCTGTTTGTCTGTATACCTCCTCCTCTATTCCCTTTTCATCATTCAATCCATACTTTCATCACTATGTCTCTCTAACTCCTTTATATACCCCCAAACTTGGTTTTCTCTACCTCCAACTCTCACTACCCCTCTATCTCTCTCCTTCAAATCATTCCTTCTTTATATATTTCTACTGTTGCCCTTAACTCTTTTCTACAGCTGCCACACTCTTTCCTGATCCCTCTTTTTATCTTGTTACTTCTTCCCATCCCTCTTTCTTCCATATCTCTCTCCCCATTCCTCTCTTTATATCATTCCATATCCCAACATCTCTCTCCATCCCTTTACTTATATCACTCTATCTTCCCATCCCTTTCTTCTAAATACTCCATCTTCCCATCCCTCTCTTCTAAACACTCCAGCTTCTCATCCCTCTCTTCTAAACAATCCATCTTTCCATCCCTCTCTTCAAAGCAATCCATCTTCCCATCCATCTCTTCTAAACACTCCATCTCCCCATCTCTCTCTTCAAAACACTCCATCTTCCCATCCCTCTCTATATATCACTCCATATCCCCACATCTCTCTCCATCCCTTTACTTATATCACTCTATCTTCTTCCAAACATTCAATCTTCCCATCCATCTCTTCTAAATAATCCATCTTTCCATCTCTCTCTTCCAAACATTCCATCTTCCCATCTCTCTCTTCCAAACACTCCATTTTCCCATCCCTCTCTTTCAAACACTCCATCTTCCCATCCCTCTCTTCCAACCACTCCATCTTCCCATCCCTCTCTTCCAAACACTCCATATCCCCATCCCTCTCTTCCAAACACTCCATCTTCCCATCCCTCTCCTTCTGCTGCTCCTTCGCCCCATCCCTCTATTTATATCACTCCATCTTCCCATCCCTCTCTCACCATCCCTCTTTTCCTATTGCTCCATCCCCCCATCTCTTTCTTTTCCACCCCTCTCTCCCCATTCCTCTTTTCCTATTGCTCAATCTCCCCCGTCCCTCTCGTTTCCCATTTCTGTGACACTGTCTGTGACTATCCCTCCTCCCTCTCATCTTCTCTGTATCTTGTATGTCTCCTATACAGCTGGCTGTGTGCTTCCCCCGGGGGTGTGTGTGTGTGTGTGAGCATGCTATGTAATGCCACACTCTGTGACACACACACAGAGATGCTCCTGTCTCCATGGCAGCCGTAACTAGAAGGTAAGCCGCTTGTTCTTTGCTTTCTCCTGTTTTCCTCATCTCTCCTTTAATCAAACCCCAGTCTATTTATCCCCTATTCCCCAATGTAATCAGCCCCCCGGGAAATCGCCTCCCATTCCGGGTGATAATAAGGGATGTTTTATTCCATGTGATTGACTCATCCATTTCTCTCCCAATGTTCCTTCCTCTCTCCATCTCTCTCCCTCCAAATCTCTACCTTTCTTTCTATCTCAATCCTTCTGTCTTTATTTCTGTCTCTCCCTCCAAATCACTCTCCCTATAAGTCTCACCCTCTCTCTGTCTCTCTCTCTCCCTCCCTATTTCCCTGTTTCTCTATCTCCCGGTCTATTTCCCAGTCTCTCTCTCTCCCCTCTTCCTCTGTCTCCCTTAATTTATTTCCCTTTGATTCAATCTCATGTATATCTCTCCCGTTGTCTCTCTCTCTTTCTCTGTGTCTCTTCGAGTTTCCCTTTGTGTGTCACGCTGTCTGTCTCTTTATATCTGTCTTTCCTTTTATTCATGTAACTCTTTCTCTTTCCCAATATTTTAATCACTCTCTCTGTCTCTCCCCACTCTTTACTCTTTCTCACCCATTACCTTCTCTTTCTCTCTCTCTGTCTCTCTACCCATATCTCTATCTCTTTGCATGTGTCTCTCTTATACTTGCTGACTCTCTCTGTGATTCCTCATTCACCCAATTCTTTGTATAATTAATTACAATCCTTTCATCCTAAACCTTTTCATCTCACCATCAACCCAGATCTCTTCATCTCCCTCGCTTCTCCCCACTCCTTGCATCACTCACTCTTTTCATCACTCACACTCCATGTGTCATTCACACTTCTCTATCACTCACATTCCCTGCATCACTCAAACTCCATGTATTAATTCCCACTCCACGAATCAATCCCACTTCATGTATCACTCACACTCAATATATCACTCACACTCAATATATCATTCACACTCCTTGGATCATTCACACTCCTCTATAACTCACTCTCCCTGCATTACTCACACTCCATGTATCACTCACACTCCATGTATTACTCACACTCCTTGGATCATTCACACTCTTTCTGTCACTCACACTCCCACAATAATTCACACCCCCTCTGTCACTCACACACTCTGTATAATATACATCCTCTCTATCATTCACACTCCTTTTAGCTCTCACATGCCTATATCACTTACATTACCTGTTTTATTTACAGTTCTGGTGTCATTCACACCCCCTCTATCATTCACACTTTCTTTATCATTCATCTTCCCCTCAATCACCCTTTTTGTTTCATTCACACTCCCTGCATCATTCCTACTCTTTGATTCATTCACATTCCCTCTATCACTCATACTCTGTTTATCATTCATAGGTTAGGTATTACTCACACTCCCTCTATCATCCACACTCCTGGAATCATTCACTCTGTGCAGCTACCACCGCTACATCACTCACAGTCCTTGTTTTATTTACAGTCCGTGTATCATTCACACTCTCTTTATCATTCTCCTTTCCTGCATCATTCACACTCCCGGCATCATTCACACTCTGTGCAGCTCTTTACGCACTCTCTGCACCTCTCACAATATGGTATCACTGCCCAAATATCCCACACTCCCTACAATAATCCCTACTGCACTACCTGCACCACGTACACTGCCAGCGTCGCCTACATATCACGCATTGCTCACACTGCTAAGTTCTCTTAGTGTTGTAACATGTGGGATATGGTTGCAGTGTGGTAGTAGTGACCAGCATGTTTGCATTTCACTTAAATGTAAAATATATATTTTTAGATGTCATTTACAATCAGTACATTGAGAAGTTCAATATAGGCAGTTAGTATAGTGGGATTTTAATGAGGAGGTAGGGGGTGAAGGAATATAATGCTCACCCAGTATCCACTCCTTCAAAAAAATCATTAAAAACCCACTTCTTCATAAAAGCGTATCAATTAGACTGTTGATAGCTCCCAACTGATTCCTCTCTTGTAACTGTCATTAGTCTAATACTATCCTTCCCTTTTTGTGTCATTTTACCCCACTCCCTCTAGCATGTAAGCTCATTGAGCAGGGCCCTCAACCCCTCTGCTCCTGTGTGTCCAACTTGTCTGGTTACAACAACTACATGTTTGTGCGTCCACCCATTGTAAAGCGCTGCGGAATTTGTTGGCGCTATATAAATAATAACATCATAATAATAATAATAATAATAATGTAATGAGTAAGGGTAGTTGAATTTGTAATATAGTGAATATGTGCACTGGTATGAGACATAAGGGGCAATAGATAGTGGGGTTTGCAACCTGTGGAATTATAGTGAGTCTGCGTAGTGGGATTTATAGTCAGTGAAGTGGATATGGATAGTGTGATTTTTGCATTGAGATTCACAGTCAATGGGTGAATTAAACGTGAACGTGCAGTGTCCTCACCAAAATTTCTGCACCATTTCTGTTGTAGAAAGAACAGAATTCACATTGGTTCCCATGTTCTAAAATGGTTGTTTGGTCTTAATGGAGTTTTACTTGTTACACGCATGGCACCTCTGATGGCTTGATTTGCAAGTGTGTAATTGGTAGGTATATTCGGTTATTTTGCCCCATATGTCAGAATATATCTTCTGACATTTTGTAATATTTGCTGAGTTTCTCCTCATTTTCCATATTTACTCTCACATGATATAGTGTAGCCATTTACATATGTTTGGTTTAATTAACCTCATGCCTTGTTTATAATCACTTATTACATATACCATAAATATCGCCATTTGCAATAAATCTCCCCATTTGACATAATTTACCCCATTTACCATTTCGCTCTATACATTTAACATCATTGACCCAATGTCACCCCTCTGCCATATGTTGTTCTATATGCCCTGTTGAACACACCTGAGTGTTGTAGGGTGCAATGCAGAAACCACGAGCAGTGGGGTACACGCTCTCTGCAGCTCTGCATTTCCACTGATAAAGGGGGAATAGAGAGAATTGAGGATTTGTGGGGCCTCCAAACACTGGGTCTTGTTACAGAGGCTCCAAAACTGCAGGGCCCAAGACATGCTGCGGAGGTTGTGATCTGTAGTTGGAGAGTAGAGTAGGAGAATAATACAGATATTATTCATATTAATTTAATAAGAATGCAGATTGAGTGAGTGGGAGTGACATATCTATGTGACAGGAAGTAATAGAAATTTGTACATAGAAATATGGGCAGATTGAGTGAAAGACAAACAACAGAACTGTGAATTGATCAGCCGTGTTACTTCCCCTAATGTCTTCCTATGGGTAAATCTTGGATTATAATCTCCCATAATGTCTTCCTACGGGTATATCTTGGATTATAATCTCCCATAATGTCTTCCCATGGGTATATCTTGGATTATAATCTCCCATAATGTCTTCCCATGGGTGTATCTTGGGTTATAATCTCCCATAATGTCTTCCTGTGGGTATATCCCATAATGTCTTCCTATGAGTATAGCTTGATTATAGTCTCCCATAATGTCCTCCTATTGGTTATAGCATGGACTATAATCTCCCCTAATATTTTCCTGCTTGTTATAGTTTGGATTATAATTTCCCCTAATGACCTCCCATGTGACGTCCACAAATGTCTTCCTGTTGGTTATAGTTTGGATTATAACCTCCCCTAATAACCTGCTGGTTACAGCTCAGATCATAATCTCCCCTAATGACCTCATATGGTTATAGTTTGAAATGAACTGCTATGTGATGTCCTCAAATGTCCTCCTGTTCCTTACAGTGTGTGTGTGTGTGTGTGTGTGTGTGTGTGTGTGTGTGTGTGTGTGTGTGCGCGCGCATATATATATATATATATATATATATATATATATATACTAGGGGAGTAATTAAATTCTATTTAGTGATAGCAGGTTAGTGATGGGGTTATATTTAATGATAGTAGGGTGGAGATTGGTTTATAAATAGTGATAGTATGGTTGGAATGAGGCTATACTTTTAATTTTAGGGCAGTGATTGGGTTATAGCTAGTAAAAGCAGGGTAGTGATCGGATTATATTTAGCAACAGCAAGACAGTGATGGGGCTATTTATAGTGATACTAGGGTAGTGATGGGGCTATATACAGTAATAGTAGCATATTGATGGGGGTTACATTTAGTGATGTTAGGGTAGTGATGGGGCTATGTATAGTGATAGTAGGGTAGTGATGGGGCTATATACAGTAATAGTAGCATATTGATGGGGGGTTACATTTAGTGATGTTAGGGTAGTGATGGGGCTATGTATAGTGATAGTAGGGTAGTGATGGGGCTATATACAGTAATAGTAGCATATTGATGGGGGGTTACATTTAGTGATATTAGGGTAGTGATGGGGCTATGTATAGTGATAGTAGGGTAGTGATGGTGCTATATACAGTAATAGTAGCATATTGATGGGGGTTACATTTAGTGATGTTAGGGTACTGATGGGGCTATGTATAGTGATAGTAGGGTAGTGATGGGGCTATATACAGTAATAGTAGCATATTGATGGGGGGTTACATTTAGTGATATTAGGGTAGTGATGGGGCTATGTATAGTGATAGTAGGGTAGTGATGGGGCTATATACAGTAATAGTAGCATATTGATGGGGGGTTACATTTAGTGATATTAGGGTAGTGATGGGGCTATGTATAGTGATAGTAGGGTAGTGATGGGGCTATGTACAGTAATAGTAGCATTTTGATGGGGGTTACTTTTAGTGATATTAGGGTAGTGATGGGGCTATGTATAGTGATAGTAGGGTAGTGATGGTGCTATGTACAGTAATAGTAGCATATTGATGGGGGGGTTACATTTAGTGATATTAGGGTAGTGATGGGGCTATGTATAGTGATAGTAGGGTAGTGATGGGGCTATATACAGTAATAGTAGCATATTGATGGGGGTTACATTTAGTGATGTTAGGGTAGTGATGGGGCTATGTATAGTGATAGTAGGGTAGTGATGGGGCTATATACAGTAATAGTAGCATATTGATGGGGGGTTACATTTAGTGATATTAGGGTAGTGATGGGGCTATGTATAGTGATAGTAGGGTAGTGATGGGGCTATGTACAGTAATAGTAGCATTTTGATGGGGGTTACTTTTAGTGATATTAGGGTAGTGATGGGGCTATGTATAGTGATAGTAGGGTAGTGATGGTGCTATGTACAGTAATAGTAGCATATTGATGGGGGGTTACATTTAGTGATATTAGGGTAGTGATGGGGCTATGTATAGTGATAGTAAGGTAGTGATGGGGCTATGTATGGTAATAGGGTAGTGATGTGGCTATGTACAGTAATAGTAGCATATTGATGGGGGGGTTACATTTAGTGATATTAGGGTAGTGATGGGACTATGTATAGTGATAGTAGGGTAGTGATGGGGCTATGTACAATAATAGTAGCATATTGATGGGGGATTACATTTAGTGATATTAGGGTCGTGATGGGGCTATGTACAGTAATAGTAGCATATAGATGGGGGGTTACATTTAGTGATATTAGGGTAGTGGTGGGGCTATATACAGTAATAGAAGCATATTGATGGGGGGGTTATATTTAGTGATATTAGGGGAGTGATGGGACTATGTATAGTGATAGTAGTATTTTGATGGGGGGTTACATTTAGTGATATTAGGGTAGTGATGGGGCTATGTATAGTGATATTAGGGTAGTGATGTGTCTATGTACAATAATAGTAGCATATTGATGGGGGATTACATTTAGTGATATTAGGGTAGTGATGGGGCTATGTATAGTGATAGTAGGGTAGTGATGTGGCTATGTACAGTAATAGTAGCATATTGATGGGGGTTACATTTAGTAATATTAGGGTAGTGATGTGGCTATGTACAGTAATAGTAGCATATTGATGGGGGGTTACATATAGTGATATTAGGGTAGTGATGGGGCTATGTATAGTGATAGTAGGGTAGTGATGTGGCTATGTACAGTAATAGTAGCATATTGGTGGGGGTTACATTTAGTAATATTAGGGTAGTGATGTGGCTATGTACAGTAATAGTAGCATTTTGATGGGGGGTTACATTTAGTGATATTAGGGTAGTGATGGGGCTATGTACAGTAATAGTAGCATATTGATGGGGGGGTTACAGTTAGTGATATTATTGTAGTGATGGGGCTATGTATTCCACAGAGATGTATAGTAGGAAAGAAGACAAATATTTATTTCTAACAAAACATGTGTGACATACGGTATCATGGACTGGGAGTTATGGAACCAAGCAGGAAATATACCAAGATGTCTAATCAATAGTTTCATAAACCAAGCGGTGAGTCTGCCTCTGTGGTCATATAATCCCACTGAACACATGATGACTTGGTTAAAATTGTGGTTACAGTGATATATATTAAATTCAAGAAATTATAATATATATGATCTAGCTGCCCATCATCCTTTCTTTACTCTATGTATCAGTAGAATTGAAGTGGCTCTTATATCACATTTCCCTGTAGAGCCCAGTATTTGGGTGCCATAGTGCTGAGAGTATTAAAGCTATAAATATATTCTATTTTCACTGCATTACATGCGCTGTCGTACAATGCTAAGTAACACCATCAAGTTTTTCATTCAGCCTAGGAAAAAAAGGCTTCTTAAAATGTAAATAAGAAATTCTGTATGAATGAGATGAAAGAAAAATTATGTGCACAAATAATAAAAATTAAATAAGCCACCTAATTTCTATTCTAAAAATGGAGTCTAAATGCATGCTGCGCTTCTATACAGTTTAACTATACCTTGCAATTAACTTCCTAGCCAATCCCAATTCACCACAACCAACAAAGTCCTACTGCTTTATATAGGAGTCCGTGGGACTCCCTGAGCTATTTTTTGTAATATACGGTAATTATAATTGAGTTGGTTGGACAAGGGCATCCTATTTCTGCCATATGGACAACAATTGAAAAGGGTTGAGCAAGTTAGTTTGTGGAGATGAAGCATTTTTATGACATTTTCAATGCTCTAAACCGACCCCAGACTTTTGCATAGTTTTATAACATTTTTGGAATATTATGTCTTGTATATTTACTTGTATGATAGTGATACAAGTTATTTTGCCTGTGTCAATGTTGAATACCCTTTGCAATCACAGATAAAAGTTCTGTGCACTCGAGGCTTCTCAACATGTGTAGACTTTATTTGAAAAAACTAAGCATAAAAATTGACAACTTTTTGGCCGTGCTTTACATTTAATAGTACAAAATACAGTCTACAGAGAGAGAAGACTAAACTATGCCAAGTCCAGGTGAAGAATTGGAGAAAAAAACAGATAAACGAGAAATAGTCAAGGATTCCAGAAAGCTGCGTACTCAGATGTCAAAACCAAGTCAATACCAGAATAGTACACTATAAATGAAAGCATACTCTCATTAACAGAGACCAGTACAGACAGAAGAAGCTATCAGACTGGCTATAAATAGCACTACCATAGGCTACTATTGGCCTGCTTTAAAAGTGATGCCAAAACGTACACAACCTACGTTGTTTGGTTGAGATGGTTTGGCATAAAAAATATGATGCGGCTTTCTGTGTGAATAAATAGATACGCGTGCAATGGCGCCTGAAAGGTGCTCAGGCCATGAAAGATTGTTACCATGTGCAACACAACACACCTTCTGGATAAACAATTATTGTATGAATCTCAGATATACACCTAATGTATCCCCTCTTAGATACTGGCATCACCAAAAACAAACTGTAATGTAAAATGCAGATACATTTGATGTTTTAATTGGAGATTTGAATCAAGAGTTGGTCCACAAAGACTTGTTTGGCTCCTTCAAACTAAATATTGCGGGGCTTCAATAAAGCTCTAGGGACCAGTACACAGGATGGTTGCCAGGACTTTGCTGGAAAGCCAACATGTATTCCAGCAATGCTAGTTCAGTAATGGGTTTTACTTGTCCACCCAGGCACTGTCTGAGTGTCCAATGCATGCTGCTTGAGGTAGGGGTAGTAAAGGATCTGGACTCATAGTTAGCTTACCATTATGACCCAGACTAACAGTGAAGCTCATGGGATGGAATATATTATCTACCAAAGGCCTCTTTTTAGTCATACAACGCAGACAGACTGCTTATGTGGATTGATATTGGAGTTTGTTCCATTTTACAATATTGCATGGACCTTTACAGTTAGGGTCTGACAAAAAGTCAATGTGAGACTTACCTGTACTGTGGAACTGGGACACATGCCAATTCAACTATGAGTCTTGTGGCAAATCTTCTCTCAGGTTCAGTTCTAGTGAAAGAATTGCTTTTAACTTGTCTTTCAATAGTCCCACAATGTAATTTAAGGATTTAGTATTGCGAAAGCAGCCACTGAGTATGTCTTTCCTAACAGCCCTAGACCTGACTTTAAATCCAAGTTCTATTTTGTAATCAGTGCTGTGAGCGCATATAATATGTCAGGCCTTTAGGGGTTCCTTTCCTATATTCTTTGCAAGCTTTCAGCAATTAAATTAACTGTTCATAAACAAGGAAATTAGGCCTGAGCAAAAAGGGTGTAAATCAGCTACAGAACTTGCAAAAAAAGATAGGATTTTAGGGACTTATGAAAACCTCTATGCCTTTGTTAATTACCATTATTTAACAGCTTTTTTACAAGTGCATTCAAAATTTAGGAAGTTTTAATCTAGATGTTTTCTTAAGAATGATTGATTATTATTAGCGTACTCCTTAATTTATTGAAATATGTTGTCAGTCCTTTTAGCTGTTATATTCAATGAGGGGAAATGGATCCATTGATGTCTCAATAAATCCTATCCAGCGTGTTTATGACTATGTAAGCTTGATGGCATAATGCAAGGTATAGGGCCCTTTTTTTGTAGCATCAATAATGCCACAAGTGTTGATTTTTTTTTTACAAAAACAATGAAAAGGTGTGACTGTGATCACGTTGACATTGTTAAAGGTTTAGAGTATTTTACAGATGTATCCAGGCTTCTATGACATTTATGTACAGTGTTCATCAAGAGTAGTCTGATATTCTGCTATGATTGTTTAGAGTGCTTTTCAAGGGCAATCGAACATTCTGTAATGATTCATAACATTTTCTCCAAGAGTAATTGGACATTCTACCATGATTATGTAACGTCTTCTTCTGCAGACATTCTGATTTCCCCTGAATCTTTCCCAATTCAATTCTTTATCCTTCCCTCTGATTGGCCAAGGTCAGGTAATAGCCTAGATACATCCCAAGACAGACAGAGTATTTAAGGACTTTTTAACCCAGAGACAGTGGAATTAACTGTAAGTCTCCATGCCCAAAAGCTACAGTGAGCTAGATAGCTATTCAGAGTCCTTGTACCATCATGTTCAGTAAACCTTCTTTATATGTCAGCATTCCTTGTGGCTATTTAATTTCTTGTCAAACAGTAATTTCACTTAGCATGCCAACACCTATCATCACAGCCATAAGGTCAACCTTTGAAAAGAGATAAACTAGAGAGGTTAATTGCGTCACCAAACGTACCCTATACACTTGGCCATATTCCTGATCTAGAGACACATACAAGTCCAGATATTATTATTGCAGTTAAATGCCCTTTAGTTCATGATCTCATTTCGAAGTCAGTTTCTGTGTTTCATACCAGTAAGACTCACTGATCTTTTCTCTTCTCAGTACAGGCACCCCCAAGGGAAAATACCCGCAGTGGCATGAGCTGTCTACCTGAGACTGGCTGCAATTATCACAGCTCCCGAGCTACTGTGCAGGATCTGGGAAGAAAAGAGAGAGCTGAGAGAGCAAGAGACTTTGCAAAAAGTGCTGGAGAATGCTTACATAGAGCCAGAGACTGCACAGTGTGTGCCAGAGACAACTCTAGGAGAGACAGAGACTGCACAGAGAGTAGAGACTGCTCACTTAATGCCAGAGATTGCATAAACAGTGTCAGAGACAGCTCTCAGACTCTCTCTCAAGAGACTGCACGAAGAGTGACAGAGTTTGCTCGCACAGAGCCCACACAGAGAGCACCAAATACTGTTCCAAGATTGCCTTTGGCAACAAAGAGAGCACCTCAAACTCCTCTCAGGGGGCTAGAGACTGCATTGCAAGTGTCAGAGACTACACAGAGAGTGTCAGAGACTTTACAAGGAAATTTAGAGATTACAAGGAGTGTACCAGAGACTGCTCACGAGAAGCCAGATACTGCAAGGAGAGTGCCTAAGACTGCTCTTGGGAAGCTAGAGACTGCATAAAGAGTCCTAGAGACTGCTCATACAAAAGCCTGAGACTGCATAAAAATTCCCAGAGACTGCTCACGTACTGCCACAGACTACTCAGAGAAAGAAACTGTATATGGCAAACAGGAAAGGGGTAGATATGGAGAGCGCAGGCTGAGAGGGATTATTGGGAACAGGGAGAAGCAATCTATTTTTGGGAGAGTAGCTCATTGCAGCCTCTGTCTAATGATTATTATCTTAGGAGATGCCTGAGTGAACTGAACTAACAGTGTGAGTAGGCACGTAGTGTGAGTGGGGTGTAACTTTAAGGAAGTACAGGGTGTGAAGGAGACAAATACTGTGTGTTGGGTATAAATCTGAGAAGACAAAGGGTGTGAAGTTGCTACATAGTGTGAGTGGGGTATAAATCTGAAGAGGTGCATGTTGTGAGTGGGGTATAATTCTCAGGAGGTGCATTTTGTGAATGGGATATAATTCTGAGGAGGTACGCATTGTGACTGGTGTATAATTCTGAGGAGGTACACATTGTGAGTGGGGTATAATTCTCAGGAGGTACGCATTGTGAGTGGGTATAATTCTGAGGAGGTAGTATTGTGAGTGGGGTATAAATCTGAGAAGGTACGCATTGTGACTGGTGTATAATTCTGAGAAGGTACACATTGTGAGTGGGGTATAAATCTGAGAAGGTACACATTGAGAGTGGGGTATAATTCTGACTTACTGTGTGAAGAAGGCAGAGTGTGGAAGTGTGTGGGGACACAGAGTGCCAGAAAGAGAAGGTAGGTAGGGAAAGTAGTGGGAGCCAGACTGTGAAGGGGTGTACTGTAGATTGAGAGAGTCAGTAAGGGCAAAGTGAGTGGGTGTGAGAATAGTTTGAGAAAGTGTGTGAGGTTTGATTTAGAGTGTCTGAGTGGGTATAGGGTGAGCGGGCATTAGACTAGGTGTAAGCAAATACAGGGAGTGTGAGTACAAGGAGTGTGAGTGTAATCTGGTAACAAGGAAGAACAGGAAGACACAAAGCAGTTTCTGGGAAAATCAAGGTCCAAGATCAGAAGGAGAGCTACTGCCCTTGGGGGCCCAGAAGATGCCACGGGCCCATGAACAGGATGATGCTGATGAGCTATATCAGAACAACTCCTTATCTTGGCTGGCATGTGGTGCCCTCTCACTCCTTGCCAACGGCTGGAGCATCCTGAGCCTAGCAAGCCGTGGAGGCAGTGGCCAACGTCCGCGCCCTTTGGAGCTTCTTCTCTGTCTTCTAGCTGGAACTCATTTGTTGATGGCAGCTGTGCCTCTGTCCTTGTTCTCTGTGGTACAGCTCAGACGTAGACACTCACCGGGTTACGAATGGAATGAGGGTCTCTGCAAGGTATTTGTGTCAACGTATTACACGCTGGCATTGTCTACGTGCCTAACTGTGGCATGCCTCTCCTATCACCGGATGTGGATGGTCCGGTGGCCTGTCAGCTACCGACTGGGTGGTGCCCGGAGACAAGCTCTGCAGGGGGCACTTGGTATCTGGGCTGCCTCGTTTGTTTTGTCTACACTCCCTTCCATTGGTTGGCATGACAATGCACGACGGTTTTACACACGTGGGTGCCATTTCCTAGCGAGTCGCATTGGTTTGGGATTTGGGCTCTGTTTTCAACTGCTGCTCTTGGGTGGGGTGGGTACAGGGTTAGGGTGTCTTGGGGTGACTTTGTACCATGCTTGTTGTTGCCCTGCATCTGGGCAGAGAGGGGCGAGTGAAGGAGGCCCCGAGGGAAAGCTGGAAGTTCCAGCCATCGTGGTGCAGGACGCCCAGGGAAAGAGGCGCTCATCACTGGATGGGTCAGAGTCACCACGGACAGCAGCACAGGTCACCGGACTGGTTGGGGGAATTGTCCTGCTGTATGATGCCCTGACTGGGCTACCAATACTGGTAGGTTTTGCAGGGTTTAAGATGGGTTCTATAGTGTGAGATAACCAGAATTATGGAGTGAGAATTGTGGAAATCAATTTTAGTGAGGCAGAGCTTAGCAAACTATATCAGGGTGGGTAGATGTGTAGATATCAGAAAGGGTGTTATTGAGTTAGATTTGTAAAAATCAGAGATAGGGAAATAATCCTAGGGAGCTAGAGCTGTAAAAACAGTGTTAGATTTCTTTCTGAAAATAATTACTGTTGTGCATCACGTGCATATTTCAATTTGGACTTTCGGCACAGAAACTTGACAAACGAACAAAGACAGGCATTGTGTGCCAGACTTCCCCAGGCATTTATTCAGGTACCCTTAGCAATGGGTTATCAATCAAAACAATTGATTAAAATCCAAAAGGACCAGTTTCAACCTTTAAAGTCTCATCAGCATAGTCAAGTTGAAGGCTCTCTGATACAGTGGCAGAGCCAGAGACTGATCTCGGGAGGGGCACTTTTATATTATTTAAATAAATAATCCATGCACAATAACCACTACAGCTCTGTGTAGTGGTTATGGTGCCGGGACCCCCTCCCAGAGTAAGTAGTCAAACCATTTAATAACAATTTGACAACTTACCTGGGATCTGCTGGGATATGGGGCTGTAGTAGGGCATAGGAGCAGTGGTGTAACGTGAGGGGTGCAGTGTGTGTGTGTGTGGGGGGGCAGTGTGTGTATGGGGGGCAGTGTATGTGTGTGTGGGCAGTGTATGTGTATGGGGGGGTAGTGTATCTGTGTGGGGGGGCAGTGTAGGTGTGTGGGGGGGCAGTGTATGTGTGTGGGGGGGCAGTGTGTGTGTGTGTGGGCAGTGTGGTCCTCTCTCCCTCCACCGCCGCCTGCCAGCACGGTGCCTGCGGACTGGGGAGGGAGATCTGTGATCTCCCCTCCGGTCCGCAGGCACATTGCAGGGCTGGCACTTGGATAATGCCAGCCCAGCATTAGCTGGCAGGGGAGAATCTCGGGGAGGGTATTGCCCCCTGGATCCGCCAAGGCTCTGATAAAATAAAAATAGGTGCCAAAAAGTTTGTGGTGAGTCCAAACACCCCACAGCACAAACAGAAAATAATACTGTTGTGCAACACTTGCATATCTCAAGTTATATTCTGGAGAGTCCCCCCTGGACACAGAAAATTGGGAAATCATGTTTCCACAACTATCCCAGAGTCCCCAGCTTGACATTCAAAAGAACACAGAAAAGCTTCATGTTCTAGACTGCCCCTTGTATTTCTGCAGGTACCGGGTGTTTCTATTTGAACCAGGTTCCAGGTATGGTAGAAACCAAGGTTGGTGATTAGTGGTTGGTATTAATCTGTGAGAGTGAGTTGGGTACATAAATCAGAGATTGGGTTAGTAAACCAGATATAACTAGCAGAGTTAGATTTGAATAAAAAATACTAGTGAATTTAACTTTATTGAAATAGTGTTAGTAAGTTATATTTATAATACAATCTAATTGAGAATTGGTTTAATAATCCAGAAGCATTGAATTAACTCTACATAAACAGTGGCAGCGACATACATTTAATAACCCATATTAGCAGGTTTCTATAGTAAGATGGGCTGAGTTGATTTTTACCCTCCTTTGTTCTCTTATACTGCTCTCAGTTCTCTCATACCTCTTTCAGCCCTCTCAGTCATCTCGTACTCCTCACTGTCCTCTCTTACCCCTCTCTATCCCCTCATACCCCTTTCTGTACCTTAATAACCCTCTTAGCCCTCTGATTCCCCATTCTGTCCTCTCTTACCCCTCTCTGTCCTCTCGTACCCCTCTCTGTCCACTCATTCTGCTCTCTGTCCCCTCATACCCCTCTCTGTCTCTTAATACTCCTCTTTGCCCTCTCATATCCCTCTCTGTCCTCTCTTACCCCTCTCTGTCCTCTCTTACCCCTCTCTGTCCCCTCATACCCCTCTCAGTCCACGCATTCTGCTCTCTGTCCTCTCTTACCCCTCTCTGTCCCCTTATACCTCTCTCTGTTCTCTCGTACCCCTCTCTGTCCCTAATACTCCTCTCTTTCACCTCTCTGTCCTCTATTACCCCTCTCTGTCCTTTTGTAACCCTCTTAGACCTCTCATACCCATCTCTGTCCACTTATTCTGACTCGCTTTTCCCTCATACCCCTCTCTATCCACTTATTCCCCTCTCTGTCCACTCATTCCCCTCTCAATCCTCTCTTACCCCTCACTATCCTCTCTTACCCCTTACTATCCTCTCTCACCCCTCTCTTTCCACTCATACCCCTCTCTGTCCACTCATACCTCTGTCTTTCCACTCATTCCCCTCTCTGTCCCCTCATTCACCTCTCGGTCCCCTCATACCCCTCTCTGTCCACTCATACCTCTCTCTGTCCACTCATTCTGCTCTCTGTCCACTCATACCTCTCTCTGTCCACTTATTCTGCTCTCTGTCCACTCATGCCACTCTCTGCCCCCTCATGCCTCGCTCTGTCCACTCATACCCCTCTCTGTCCCCTCATACCCCTCTCTGTCCCCTCATGCCTCTCTCTGTCCACTCATTCTGCTCTCTGTGCCATCTTATACTCTTCTCTAACTTCTAATACCCTTCTGTGTCCTCTCATCCATCTCTTTATCCCACTATGCCCTGTCTTAGAATCGATGTGTCCATTTATACCCCTCTCTGTTCTCTCTTATAATCTCTGTGTCCTCTCATTATCCTCTCTGTCCCCTCTCACACCCTCTGTGTTCTCTCATAGCCCTCTCTGTCCTCTCTTGTACCCCCTGTGTCCTGCCATGCCCTTCTCCCTGTCCTATCCTCTTATATTTCACACTTTCCCTTCACAGCCTTTTCGGAACTCTGTCCTCTGGTCCTCTTTCCCTGTCCTTTGACCCCCTCTCTCTGTTCTTGTACACCCCTCTCTGTTCTCTGATGCATTTTCTCTGTCGACTCATATCCCTCTCTGTCCTCTCATATGCCTCTATGTCCTCTTTTAGTCCTCTCTGTACTCACATATCCCTGCGTGTCCTCTTATACCCCTCTTTGTTCTCTTATACCTTTTTGTGTCCTCTCATACCCCTCTCTGTTCTCTTACACCCCTCTATGTCCTCTTATATCCATCTCTGTTCTCTCATTGCCCTCTCTGTTCTCTAATACCCCTCTATGTCCTCTTATATCCATCTCTGTCCTCTCATTGCCCTCTCTGTTCTCTAATACCCCTCTATGTCCTCTTATATCCATCTCTGTTCTCTCATTGCCCTCTCTGTTCTCTAATACCCTTCTATGTCCTCTTATATCCATCTCTGTCCTCTCATTGCCCTCTCTGTTCTCTAATACCCTTCTATGTCCTCTTATATCCATCTCTGTCCTCTCATTGCCCTCTCTGTTCTCTAATACCCCTCTATGTCCTCTTATATCCATTTCTGTCCTCTCATTGCCCTCTCTGTTCTCTAATACCCTTCTATGTCCTCTTATATCCATCTCTGTTCTCTCATTGCCCTCTCTGTTTTCTAATACCCCTCTATGTCCTCTTATATCCATCTCTGTCCTCTCATTGCCCTCTCTGTTCTCTAATACCCCTCTATGTCCTCTTATATCCATCTCTGTCCTCTCATTGCCCTCTCTGTTCTCTAATACCCTTCTATGTCCTCTTATATCCATCTCTGTCCTCTCATTGCCCTCTCTGTTCTCTAATACCCCTCTATGTCCTCTTATATCCATCTCTGTCCTCTCATTGCCCTCTCTGTTCTCTAATACCCCTCTATGTCCTCTTATATCCATCTCTGTACTCTCATTGCCCTCTCCCTTACCTGTAATACTCCTGTATATAACATCTCAAACACCTTTACTGGCACTGCATTTATTTATTCCATCTCTTTCTTCATTTGTTTGCCCCTGCTAATGTCCTCTTTCTATTGCCTCATACATCGATCTGCCCTATTATACTATCTCTCAAGCCTCACTTACCCCCCTGGCCTCTCATATTTCTCTATATCCTCCTCTTAGATCTCTCTTGGCATTTATACTTCTCTCTCTCTCCTCTACCCTGCACTATTATTTCATACTCCCCCACTTACCTCTCATACCCCTTACAGTCAAGCCCTACAGTCACCATCTCTAACAGATGTTAAAGCTAGTTCCTATATGTATCAGTTAACATGTACAAAAGCTGTGATATCAGTAATTCACAATTATAATATACTCATGCAAATGATTGTGAGAGTGAATACAATGGCATGCCCAATATAGAGGTCTTTAAAGCATACTACAATCCAACATCTGTTGGGCTTTTATAGAAATTCGGGCTAATCTTGGCCAGATGTTTATGAACTCCAATACCCATGATGCTAAGTCAGTTTGAAGGCTGTTTTATGTGACTACAGCTTACTTATGTGATACACATCAAATCATTCGATTTCAATAACGCACTCTGCAAGAAACAATTTAATGAGGCTCTCCACGAATAGAACCATGACTCCACGTAGTAAAAGCAACGCCATCTGGTGCATTCAGTAAATGTAAAATGTACAGATATACTAAATGATATCCTTGCATGGGGTGTTCATTCATTTAATCATATGTAGCTCTCAAATAAACATTTTCTATTATAAAATATAAAGAACAAAATCATCAAGAAATATATAATATATATAAAAATATATGTCAGTATCTCATTTTAAATCATTTAGAACCTTACTAAATTATTATGACAAGGGTGGTGATAAATATCTGCTTGGAGACTGCCCTGAATCAATCGCCATCATACCTAAAACAGTCATGTTTTTTTTGTTTTTAGAGAATTGGCATAGGAATTGCAAATCATATGCTAAAATAACTGAGCTGAATAAAAAGCTGAATAGAAATCTTTTTTCAATGTGTATTTTTACCTAAATCATGCGACTCCTTTGTCAGTTCTCTACCGTTCACAGTTCAGTGAATAAACCCCACATAGTTATCTGTCACATAAAACTAATCCCAATTCCAGCTTTTGTGCCAGAGACCCAGCAGGAGATTTAGTGTGACCTGTTAAAACTCTTTGATGCATCTCTTCTTTTCAATTACCAAAATGTTGGCTTCTTTATTTTTTATAGGAGGGCTATAGTGAAACTACTAGGGGTGAATGACCAGCACAGTACAAATTAATGGAAAATATGTGGGGTATTTGGTGGTATTTTTTATGACAGTAGTTCAGCGTTGAAAGAAAAGGATTAAAGGCCGCTGACTGTCCAAGCTATCAGAAGCTAAACCCGTCACTACCACAAATCATATGAAACCCTATTGGATGGCTCTAAGGTCTCTATTATTATTATTGTTATTATGTATAAAGTGCCAATAAATTCTGTAGAGCTGTACAATGGGTGGACTAACAGACACGTATTTGTAACCAGACGGAACATAGGGTGTCGAGGGCCCTGCTAAAATGAGCTTACATGCTAGAGGGAATGGGGTATAGTGACATCAGAGGTAAGAGAAGAAGGCTAGGCTGCTAGAATAGTATTCATGGAGGGCTTTGTGGTTTTTTGTTTTTTTATGACAGTTGCAGGAGAGGGATTGAAGTGCTGTTAGGGAAAGCTATTAACTGTTTAATTGATATGCTTTCCTGAAGAAGTGAGTTTTCAATGATTTTTTTAAGGAATGGAGCCTGGGTGAGAGTCTAACGGAGAAGGGTAGGAATTTCCACAGGAACGGTGCAGCCCTAGAGAAGTCTTATAGATGAGCATCACAGGTGGGAGTACAAATAGAGGATAGACACCCATATTATTATTATTTTTTATTTCTTTTTATTTATATAGCGCCAGCAAATTTTATAGCGCTATATGGGACATAGCTGTGTATTATGGAGGAAAGGTTGGTAGAAGCAGCGTTATATCGAGGTTTGTAGGCAAGTACCAGTATTTTAAATTGAGCCCTATTTATTACAGGAAGCCAATGTAGACACTGACAGAGGGGGAGGTGTGGGTGGACAGAAAGATGAGCCTCGCCTCCGCTTTCATTATAGACTGTAACAGGGCAAGTTGGGAACAAGTAAGACCACTGAGAAGCAGATTGCAGTAGTCATGCTGAGAGAGGACCAATACCTTAGCTGCATATATAAGAAATGGTGGAAGTGCACTCAACCCTTTATCCAGGAATCTGGTGCTCCAATGGATAAGTCCCAGTACCAAGAAAGGACCAAATATAAAATTATTAATAGTAGAAAGTAATCCAGGCACTCCAATGAATTCCAAAATTATAGGCAATTTATTAGAACCAGGAACTACACAGCAACGTTTCAACCCCTCAGGGTCTTTATCAAGCTTGCAACGTTTCAACCCCTCAGGGTCTTTATCAAGCTTGCAACGTTTCAACCCCTCAGGGTCTTTATCAAGCTTGATAAAGACCCTGAGGGGTTGAAACGTTGCTGTGTAGTTCCTGCTTCTAATAAATTGCCTATAATTTTGGAATTCATTGGAGTGCCTGGATTACTTTCTACTATTAACAATACCTTAGCTGCATCAGGCGTTACATAGGGGTGGATGTGCTATGTGTTTTTGAGATGGAAGCAGCAGCATTTGGCGATCAACTGGGAAATGAGGGGTGAAGGTGAGGTTGGAGTCAAAGAGAACAGATATATAACAAGTGGTGACCCAATATTGTAATCCTTCAAACAGATTGAGTCGTTAGTATTAAAGGAGGGCCTAATCCTTATTAATCCAAGTCTCCTATTCCCATATGTCTCACCTATCTCTGGGTACCCATGGAGCCAGGAGATTTCAAAGCCGTGGCCATCTAAAAATGATTAAAGAAATAGGGGTAAATAAGGAAATATATTAATTTTAATATTAATTTGTGTTTCAGAAACGGAGGTGGGTTTGTTACTTATTAACTCGGTGGTCCAAAGTTTGACCTCTCCTAGCCCAGTGCATATGCAATGCCTATGCATTGGCACACACAATGGGATGAATAGGCAGGGGTATTCATTGACCCTTGCTACTGTTGCTAATGTTAATATATAAATAATGCCCAACATATTACTAGACAACCTATTCTTTCTAGTCTTACTCAGTTATGCCCTCTAGTGGTTTCAAGCCTATGTTTATGAGCAAGCCTTAATAGGAGTGCCACTGTCTGTCCTCTCGAGTTCTAATACAAACTCCTTTCATTTATTAATGCTTTGTTTAATTCTTGTCCTAAATAGCTTCTTAAATGAATAAATACATCATTATTATTAATTTGTTCAATTATGCTTACCTGGCAAAATTATTTTAGATTCTGTAATTGCATTTTAGCGATTTAATACGCTTAGCTGAATGTTTTCTATCATTGGTCTTTAGATTAGTTGTATCTGTTTGTCTTAACAAAAAGATCAATTTCAATCTATTGTTCCTAAATCGTTGTACCTGTGTGGCTTTGTTCTTTCTCCATATAAATCATTGTAGACGTAATCCAGGGAGAGATGGAATTAAGGTTTTTCTAGTAACAGATTACATGGAATTAAGATCTTCCAGTAACAAATTCATTCTTCCCCAACAATTCCCAGAACACAGTGAACATACTATGAAATATCTGTAAGGCTAAACCATAGACTGTTAGGGTATATGGAGTACACTTTGGAATCCATTAGGCTAAGTGGAGTCTATGATGTACAATTATATTTTCAAACAAGAAGTACTACATTTAAATTACTAGATTTAGCACGTTTAATAATGCCATTCCATGATTTATATGAATTAATACTGGCTCAGTATTCCCCCGTCAGATCACTTTATGTGCAACTAACAGACACAAATACTCTATTTCTACCATGAAAAAAGTACAGAAATTTTAGGTATCAACCTCTGTTACCCATGTAAAAAATATACCATATGTAGCCAATGTATTACCAATATTATAACAGATAATAATATAACCAAGGTATAACCCATATAATAACAGGTTATAATATACCTGTATGCAGCCAAGGATTCACCAGTGCTATAAAATATTATATAATATATAACCCAGGAATGACCCATATTATAAGTAATATTATAACTGGTATTACGGTTATAAGATAAAGTAATACAGGTATTCCCCAGAGAATACACAAGTTATATAAAGTAATAACATAATAGTTGTAAGCAATGCTATTTCTGACATTTATCTGAATATAAATAGTATTTTGTAAATGTGCTCTGATGGTCTTTAATTATAATCATGGGTCCGCTCTTGTCAAATTAGTTGGCACACATCAAGATTGTCCATGCTTGCCCAGTGGGTCCACACCTGCCCTTAATGTGAGCACAGCAGGATTAATTGATAACTTCTTTAGAATTTAAAGATAAGGAACAGTAACGTTCATGTTGATTAAATGCATTTCTGCAAATTAACATATAGTATTGTCTTCTAAATGTGGAAAAAGCTCAGTATTCCCTTCTATGTCCAAAGGTAGATCTACCTTAAATCACTGAAAGGTTGCCTGGAATTTGAACCCTCCAGCCTTCCACGGGTTCCAAACTACAAATTATTCAGAATTCTCTGCCAGCTGCTAGTTCCAGCTAACAGTATTTCAACAACATTTAGAGTAAGGATGCCTAATAGGTAGATCCCTACAACTCTCATGATGTTTTGCATGCCTTTAGAATGACAAATCCTCATGGAAGCTGTAGTTTTAAAACATCTGGAGATCTGGGCAGTTAGAGGAACAAGTTTGAAAATATGAGGGTTAAACCAGCCACCCTGTAAAGTTCTTTCTTTCTTTCTTTCTTCCTTTCTTTTTCCTCTGTAATGTTTAATAAATCCAATACGAGCTGTCCTTAGTTCCATTCACATCATGATTCAAAGTTACATCCTGTACAGGGTTTTTCGTTAAAGTGGACAAAAATAACAAGACTAAAGGGTCAGGACAATCCTAGGAGTCAAGAGGGTAATATGGGCATAACCCAGTTTCAGAATCTAATAATGAAAAAAGTGCTAGTGTTAGTGAATAAAGCACTAGCTCCCTATGCGTACCCTATGGATAGCTAGCTGCTTCAAGGCAACTGTAAGTTAAGAATATCTGGCTAGATAGAAAACCCTATTAAAAGAACTTGCCTAACAGCAGCGTCTTACTCGACATGCCTTTCGGCACTATGTTGCGCCTTTACCAAGAGTGTGATTTCGGCACTTGGGTTTCACCCTTGAAAAACTGCTCTAGTTATTCGTCAAATTCAAAAGTCAAAGTGGATTTCCAAATTCCAGAGAAAATAGCCAAACTGGAAAATTTATCCAGTTAAATGTGTTTTTGGTCTGGTTATTTTGGCCTTAAAGTTGAATTGTGTTAGATTTCACTCAAAATCCATATTAAAATAATCCAATTTCTCAATGGCGAGATTGAATAGGTTTTGGATACATATTACTTGCTTTGAGGTTGCACTTGTCTAATTGTATTTGCTGTAGAAAATATTGTTTGATACACGTTACCTGACGATACATTTCTTGATCACATGCCAGATCAATTTAAATGATTACATACAAAGAGTTTGTTTGACAATGTCAATAGGGTCACACTGTAATGATTTACTGACTAGCAGAATAAATCAGAGAGTATCCAAGTCACATCTATTATTACCCAATCGCATCTTTTCAGTCTTTATACTGTTTTACTAATCTCTACCCTGGGTTACTATACTGTACGCTTATTTCGCTCTGGTCTGGATTCTTCCCAGGCTTCCTCATTCCCCATTATGTACTGTGTTGCCATCTTTGTTCTTTTTTCTCACATTTCCTTTTTTGGCCACATTTTGCCTTTCTGATCTGGGATTTTACCCTCTCTATACTGTTTTCCCACCATCAGCACTCTTGTACCCCTCTGTGTCCTTTTTTCCATATCTGGTCCTATTTTGCCTTTCTCTGTCCATCTTTTGTGTCTTATCCCACCCTGTATTCCCAAACTCTCTCCAATCTAGCCTCTGAGTTCTTTTTTACCTTCTCTGTTCCCTAGAATTGTCCTATTTTAGCGCTCATATTCCAATTTTCTTTCCCTATTTTACTTTGCCTCTCTGTGTCCTCTTTTGTCATTGTTAGTCTTGTTTTTGCCAGCACTCCTTCTCTAGCCTGATTTACAACTCTTTGTCCTATCTCAAGAATCTCATTCATTGTATTCCTTATTTACGCTCTTCTCTTTATTCTTCCTCACATCTGTTTTAATTATTGTAACACTTATGTTAACAATCCCTTTCACATAATTGGTAGTTTTGCAGCATAGACTGCTGTGGAACTGTTAACTTCAGAATCTCTGCTGAGAGCAAAAAATAGGAGCTGCTGGTCTGGTCTTGATTGGGACATTGATATACCAAGATGGAGCCTTGCAAGAGCAGAGCTATAGATATGGCATAGAGCCTGGCATAAGGAGAGCCTTATTCATAGTATAGAGCCTGGCATGGCTTAGCTTGAGTCTGAGACATGGCATAAAGAATAGATCTAGAGAAATGGCACAGGCATAGAGCCTAGCATGGGTATTATCCTATAGCAGGTGTAGGCAACCTATTAGATGTCCTTTTTTTATTTTAATTTTTTTATTGAGGTGAGTATGTTGAAATATTCTGCTTGTTTCATTTATGGGTGCTGTAGTTGCTGTGTAAAGATGTATATGTGGGCTGTTATATTGTATATGTTCATGAGAAGTTTGTGTGTAGATGACAAATCACATTGTGTTTGGTGGTGTATGTATGTGTGGGGCTGCTTGTGGTATTGCATATGAGAGGCTGCTTGTGGGATTGTGTGCGTGTATGTGGATTGTCAGTGGTGTTGTTTGTTTGGACTGTGTATGTGTTTGTATTTGGGCTGTTTGAATTATTTGTATGGAGTTGAGGCTTATTTTGCAGCTCTGTCGGCTGGCCAGGTACAGGTCAAGGGCAGGAGCTGAGATAGCTGATGTGGGCTGCTATACTCCAGGGTAGATTCCAGTTCATAAGTGCTTGGATGAAGTGATCTGAGATCAACTGCATTGCATAAATTGTAGATTGAGCATAACCACTGTGACAAACACCCTGTGGTCTGGTTGTTTGCCACGAGCTCCTGGAGGAGCATGCTAGCCAACCTCCTGCCCCAGGATTATGGACCATACAAAAAACCCTGTAAACTACTCTGTTCGTGTGATTTCGGACTATGTTGTTCGGGAACTGAACAACAGCATGAACCAGAGACCACCAGGGAGCTTGTTACGCCCAACTGACACCTTGTTAATAGTTCCACCACAGTGTTCTAATTGTTTGTCTGGGTGGCCGCAATTCGTATGAACGACCAGAAGGTGGGGGCTATCTTGTTCACGTGAACGCAGGCATCAGTGTTTGGTCGTCGTGTTCATGGATCTAAAATTGGACACAGAAACTCCTGAACACTTATACGACTTAGAAGGGCACTGTTAAGTGGAAACGTTCCCACGAACAAGGTGAACGAGCTCCAGGGTAGAACTATGGATTCTGTTCGGTTGTTTGTTCATTTTTAAACTACCGAACTTGACTGGCCTGTATCACTGATTTCATGGAACTGTTTTGGGCATAGGACCATGTACATGGTCGGTCAAAATTATGACTTCCAGGGAAATTCCGAACCCCTGAAATGATCTGGGTGATTTTTGGATATGTTGGTCATCCAGATCGGGGCTCTCAGGGGATATAACGTTTGTGGGATTTTTATGTGTTTTAAAGGTATTTTGGGAGTTTTGTAATATTGTGTGTTTTTCTGTGCCTGGAGATAATTGAGTTATATCAGTTCCTGACTCGATTATCTCTCAGGCACAGAGAAGGAGTTTGTAACTTGTAATTAGTCCTCTCTCAGGTCCGGGAGAGGGATTATCCTGTTTGTGTGGGAGTGTCAGGGGCGTGCTTATCTGTGTCTGAAATTGTATAAAAGCAGGCCATCTGGCCAGATTAAAATTCATTCCAGCTTGTACTCCCAGAACTATCTAGTTACTAGGAGGGGAAAGGGCTAATCACTACTCCAGCTTGTTCCAGGTGGAAGATCCAACAGGGAAAGTCCTTGTAAGCACTAGAGCTTCCAGGACTGAGTGTCGTCCAGTGCCTGGGAGTGGATAGAGTGAATTCCTCATTCAGATCCAGGACAGAGTGGTTCCAGGACCCTAGTCAAGTCACAGCGACTGGGGTCAGGAGTGTTGAGGTTTGTCCCCAGCCGGGGTACAAGGAGCTCCGTTACAACCACCTTTTTGCCTAGTAGATATCTGAAGTTCCACTGGGACTCCTGATAGGCCAGAGCCTGTTTGGTTCTAGCAATCTTGAGTGCTGTGCAAAGGCACCTAGAGTGCCATGCATGGCACACATGCCAGAGGTTGTCTACCCCTGTCCTATAGAGGTGCCGGAACATGACACGTGACACAGCCTGGCATGTACAAAGCCTGGCATATGACATGTGTACTTGTCATATGCATGTATTATGTTTGACACAAATTCTGGTATTCTCATGAATTAGTTTATGGAATTGAGACTGGCATGTGTTCTGCTTGGCATGTGTTAGTATGTAATGTGTGCAGAACTTGGCATAGAACATGGGATGTGGCACAGAGCCTGATATATCATGTAGTGTCTGGTACAGGGTATATAATCTGACATAAAGGTGTCATAGAGTAAGGTATGTGATAAATAGCTAAATAGAACCCAACTTGTACTGAAAACTCTAAGAGCTACAGGGCATGGCATAGAGTCTGCCTTATAACGAACAGGCTGGCTTAGTGTCTGGCTTATAATGCACAGGCTGGCTTATACTCTGGCTTATAATACACAGACTGGCTTAGAGTCTAGTACATGATGCAGTCTTACTTAGGGTCTAGTACATGATGCAGAGCCTGGTTTAGAGTAGGCACGCATTGGAGAGCCTGGCAGGTGGTAAAGAGTACTTGGCCTATGTTAAAGATCGTGGTGACATGCCAGGAACATGATTATGCCATCTGGCATGTGATATAGAGCATGGTATGGAGTCTGGTATGTGGTGAAAAAAAATTGAAGTGCCCATCATGTGGTGTACGGCTTGGCATACAGACTGCGACAGGCCCTATTATGGAAACTAGTGTGTGGTGAAGAGTCGGGTGAAGCACCTGGCATGTGATATAAAGTTGAGAGAACCTTGTTTGGGTTTAGAGCTCAGTATTTTCTGTAGAACCTCATTAATTCTGGCACATATTTTAGAGCCTAACATATAGTCTGGCATGTGGTGAAGGCTGAGAGAGGTTACTTTTTTATGACATCACTTCTGTAAAACTTGCTGTCACTGCAGGAGAGAGGGACGTATTATAATCTCACCACTTGACTCCTTCATTTCAAAGAAAAATGTGAAAAGAAACACAGTTCCTGCTGCAGAAATTAATTTGCGTCTGCTTCTTCTCCACTTAGTGATAATAATGGTTTAATAAGAAATACAATCTTGCTAACAGTGAATGCAGAATTGAACCAGCAGATGGACTTGATCAGCTGGAATTATCAGATAAATCCATGATGGAAGGATTTCATAGGGAGTTAGCGCCACAGCAACATTTTACACATTTTATGCATCTGTAAATGTGTCCAAAGTGCATGTGTATCTACGCACTTCTGTTTTACGTCTCTTCCCCATACACTTATGAAGCATTGACTGGGTTAAGAACATTTCTTCAATTTAATCAGGAACATGGCTAAGCAATTGTGACTGTACACATGGCCTGACAAAGACCCTATAATGGTCATCCCTTTTTTAGGGTCTTTGTCAGGCCATATTTACAGTCACAATTCAACCCTATCTAATAAAAAAACATTTTAAATAGAAAAGGGGAAGTAACTGTTACTGGGGTGAACTGTTTTAACACATGAAATATCAAGCAACATTATGTTATTTTTATCATGCAATATACATGCAATCAAGAACCCTATTTTATATCATTCTCGCCATTTTCTTATGTGTGAACCTAAAGGGATACTATAGTGTTAGGAATACAAAGCTGTATTCTTAACACTATACTTCCCTCTGCCTCCTCACCCTCACAGCCAATAAAGGATTGATAACCATTTATAAACTTACTCGATTACATCACCAAGGTCCCTCGGCACTGGGTCGACGATCCGCCTCCTCCGACGTTATCAGACAGGGGGTTAATGTGCAGATGTGCATGCGTATTGAGCACATTAGGCCCACTCCATTGGAAAGCATCTAACCAATGCTTTCTTTTAGAGATTTTACTGACGCTGGATGTCCTTACGCAGAGCGTCAGGCGACTTAAAGTCTGATAATATCCAGGAAGCGACACTCGTGGCTGTCAGATAGCATCATGGATGTCAGATAGACATTGCAGGCCTAAGGGCAATAGGGACACTGTACCCAGACCACTTCAATGGGATGAAGTGGTCTGGGTGAATATAGTTTCCCTTTAATACACAATGACAACAAAACAAATGTTCTGTTTATAAATAATACAATATATATAGATATTTAGAGGTGCAAAGGTTGAATATAAAATAAGGAAGTATTACTTTACTAAGAGGATACTGGATGCATGACATAGAATTCCAGCTGAAGTGGTAGAGGTTAACACAATGAAGGAGTTTAAACATGCATGGGATAGGCATAAGGCTATCCTAACTATAAGATAAGGCCAGGGACTAATGAAAGTATTTAGAAAATTGGGCAGACTAGATGGGCCGAATGGTTCTTATCTGCCGTCACATTCTATGTTTCTATATAAGTATATATATATACAGTGGCGGACTAAGGAGGGGGCGGTCCGCCCCGGGTGCCACCTGGTAGGGGGGTGCCTTGACCCTTGTCTTGGGGCTGGAGGGGGCTGTGTGAGCTGTGCCCCATAGCAGCTGGGGTGTCGCACAGCTCACACGGAGACCAGCAAGCTTAATTGGCCGCACGGGAGGAAGAAGGGGCGGAGTTACTGCCATTCAGGGGTGGGGCGGGGCTTAACACGGCTCTTACAAGCTGCTGTTAATGCTGCACATGGTGGTGTGTGTGTGTGGCTGTAACTATGTGTATGACTGTCTGCCTGTGACTGTATATGTGACTGTCTGCCTGTAACAGTGTGCATGACTGTGTGTAACTGCCTGTAACTGACTGTGTGTGTACAACTGTCTGGCTGTAAATATGTGTGTGTGTGTGTAACTGTCTGCCTGTAACAGTGTGTGTGTGTGTGTGTGTGTGTGTGTGTGTGTGTGTGTGTAACGGTCTGCCTGTAATTGTGTGTGTGTGTATGTAACTGTCTGTCTGTAACTGTGTGTGTGTGCGTAACTGTCTACCTGTAACTGTGTGTGTGTATGGCTGTAACTATGTGTATGACTGTCTGCCTGTGACTGTATATGTGACTATCTGCCAGGAACAGTGTGCGTGACTGTGTGTAACTGCTTGTAACTGACTGTGTGTGTGTAACTCTCTATCTCTCTACCTGTAACTGTGTGTATGACTGCCTGTGACTATACGTGTGATTGTCTGCATGTGACTGTGTGCGTGTGACTGTCTGCTTGTACCTGTGTGTGACTGTCTGCCTGTAACTGTGTGTGAGGGAGTGCAGGAATTTTGTAGAAGGGGGCAGGGGTTTGAAAAAAAAAAAAAAATTTGTTCAATACATTTTTTTTAAAATGTAAAAAAAAGAACAAATTTTAAAAACTTAGTTGGGTGTTTTTTTTTGGAGATGGGGTGCCAAACCCAGGACCCGCCCCGGGTGCCACATGCTCTAGGTACGCCCCTGTATATATATATATATATATATATATTTATGTATATATATATATATATACAATTCCAGCATCCTTTGTAGGTTATTTAGGAAGTACCTTTTATTTTCTTATTTTTTTCAAACCAGGTAGTTGTAGAACCAAAGCATATCTTTGTATTAAAGCTATTAAACATCTAACATCATGAAACAGATCTAAGATGGCACATAATGTGGCGAAATAACAGGTAATCATGGACGCTTTATGTATTATTTTTACAGGTGGTCAGTTTCGTCAGCCTGCGGTATGACAGCGCCCCCCCATGGATGGTGCTCTGTGTGCTGTGGTGCTCAATGGCACAGACTCTCCTTCTCCCATCTTTCATCTGGTCCTGTGCCCGATATCGTGCAGACCTGCGCACTGTGTGGGAACACTGTGCCTCCATGCTGTCTGACAGTGGAGGAGACGATGGTAAGTGGGCAATAAGGGGTACTCTGAAAGACGCACTTGGAGGGGCAGAGGGAAATGACAAGCAAGGAATGAAGAGGTCACAAAGAGACAGATAAAGGGGCAAGGGGGAGAAGATAAAAGTATTAGGATGTTTTGGTTAATATAAGATAATATTTATTAATCTTGGTAACAAATGAAAAAGAGACAAGTATCCACTTGGGTTCTGAGAGCTTAGATTACTGTGAGCAGAAAGTGGATGGTAAGAGGAACCCCAGGAATTTGTAGAGAATAGTTGGCTTTGTTACTTGGCCAAACCATTTTTCACAAGAATAGGATGTTGAAAAAGCTAAGATAATAAGTACATGCCCAAAAAGATTTTTAATTTTTTTAACTATGAACAAAATTTTGTTGTAAATCTACTTTAATTTATCATAAAACCTGTATCTACATTTAGGTTGTTTTTTTTGTTGTTAAATATTTACTCAATCTCACCCTTAAACTACCAATATCCCACGGTTATTTTCTGTCTAGATCCAAATTAAATGTACTCTAATTAATATGCCGCATTGTCCTGTGTCTTAACAAGAACTGAGAAGTCCAAGGATTATACTCTTGATCTGTTCTTGACAAGCCCAGTCATGAGAGGAGTACAGCCATCAAGTTTATACAGGTGTTAGGATTTGAAGAATACCAAACACTCCAAACTTAAGTTAACACTAAAAGATAATCTGAATATTAAAGCATATTAACGGACCTTAGAATAGCTGAATTTAAAGCTAATATATAGAATAGTACAGAACAGGCCCAGGTCAGGGAGACAAAGAGTATTTAAATGGTAGTTAAGACAAGCCAGATATCAAAGAATACAGAAGAAAGAATAGTCAAGGTACAAACTGGGAACAAAATACTATAGAATCAAAAAATATTACTAGCTCTCAGAATCACAAAGTAAAAGACGACAGGGCACAGAGAAATAATCAAAATAAGCTTATATAGCTCAGGAGGGCAGTTATTGGTCAGTGGCTGTCATGCTACCCCAGAAGTGTGATGACGCACTCATTTTCGCGTCAGTTAAATAACCTGTGAAGGCAGAGTCATATAAGGGCCCTGATTTACAGTGACCAGCGTCATACTGAATGCTGGAGGAAACCGAGGACAAATGAGACAGAGGAAAAGCAGCATAGGCGGCATGCGAAACAGCCACGCTGGGACGTGCCATACCAGAGCACGAGCCAGTGAGTATCATGACAATAAGGTTACATAGGGTTGTTACATTGTGCCTCTATACACCGATCCCACAGTTGTTCTACAACCATCCCTAAAGACTATAGATATTCCATAGTCTCTAAACACGAATCCTTTTACATTCATTTCTGCTGGAATATAATTCTTGGACATGTATGTAACTTTCTCCCTTTTCTTCACTAATTTAACTTGATCCACAAATACCTGTTGACAGATTTAATTCTTCTCTTTGTTACTCATCATATCTTTACAGACAGTGGTCGGGAGGACTTTGCAGACGGACGTTTGTGTGAGGTTAGATTTGATTCTAATGGAGCCTCATTAAAGAGACCCCCACACTACATTGGGGGGGAGTTGAGGGACGGAAAGTTCTTGCCAGCCCGACATGTTCTGCTGCCCACGGACCGGAGCCAGTACCTACAGGTTCATCGGCATCAGGTGAGGCGAGTCCACCAATGTACCTCAGATGACCAGCAGTGGATGAAGTTGTGTGCCCACTAGGTCAAAGAGGGAAGTGTTAGGGGGTGTAGAGATTTGGTAAATATTTCACATTCCAATAACTGGCATCTGATCTCAGTCATATTGACATTTTAATTTCCTTTAAATGCGCTGAATTTCAATATATCTAAAAATTCTGTGATCTGGTAACCAAGTTACATTGGGTTCCCAATCTTCTAATCTGATATATTGATTCATAAATTTGAATGGGTAGTTGTCTGAACAATATATAGTATTGAGCAGAACCTAGTTAGAAATAAAAACTATTTAGAAGTGATGTCCCGAACTGTTTGCCGAACGGTTCGCGAACGGTTCGCCACGAACGCTTCGCCGCGGACTCATCATTGAGTAAACTTTGACCCTGTACCTCACAGTCAGCAGACACATTCCAGCCAATCAGCAGCAGACCCTCCCACCTACTGGACAGCTCACTAAGAATGCAGCTTCACAATGGATGCTGTCCAAGAGTTGGGAGGGAGGGTCTGCTGCTGATTGGCTGGAATGTGTCTGCTGACTGTGAGGTAGAGGGTCAAAGTTTACTCAATGATGAGTCTGTGGCGAACCATTCGTGGCGAACCGTTCGCGAACCGTTCAGCGAACAGTTCGGGACATCACTATTTAGAACCATATTTTAAAATTAAAAATAACACGAACATATATCGACCCTATGTGATATTTCTTACCAACATCTATATCCTCCTCCAACTGTAGTAAATTTTTGGTTTGAGGGTAAATATTTTATTTATGTCGTATACGTGGTCAAGTATTTTTCGGCATACATTTTGTGGCTGGGAATGTGCTAAACATACATTTACTCAGGGCCGGCCTTAGGCAATTAGGCGCCCTGTGCAAAAAGTCTTCACGGCGCCCCCCCCACCTCCCACCAAGTTGCCTGAATACAGTAACACACACAGGCACCGGGGACGTGTGTATCACGAGGCAAACAAGGCATCTGCCTTGGGCGCCACTTTGCAGGGGGCGGCAAAAAAAAGCATCCCTCCAAACCCCAGGCAGATCCCTTGCTTGCCTCGCATCCTGGGGGGCTCAAGAGCTGACCGGCTGGCCACTTTTGAGCCCCCCCAAGGCTGGCAGCGGGCAGCGAAGGAGCATACTCACCTGAGCTCTTCCTGCTCAGCTTCCTCTGCGCCGCTTAATGAAGCCGGGAGCCAGAATATGACGTCAGTCCGGCTCCCGGCATCACTAAGCGCTGCTTACTCAGCCTGTGCGCCCCCTGCCTGCCTGCCCAGCAGCCACACTGGACTGCTGGTAAGAAATCCACTCCAGCTTTCCCAGGGAGGCTGGGTGGATTTAAAATAAATGTAAAAATATTAGTTTGTGAGTGTTAGTGGAAATGTCTGTGTGTGTGTCTGTGAGTGTTTATTTTGAAGTGAATGTGTGTGTGTGTGTGTGTCTGTAAGTGTGTAATTGTGTGTGTCTGTAAGTGAATGTGTGTGTGTCTGTGAGTGAATGTGTGTGTTGGTCAGTGAGTGTATATGTGTCAGTCAGTGAGTGTATATGTGTCAGTCAGTGAGTGTGTATGTGTCAGTCAGTGAGTGTGTATGTGTCGTCAGTGAGTGTGTATGTGTCGTCAGTGAGTGTGCGTCTGTCAGTGAGTGAGCGTCTGTCAGTCAAAGTGCGGCCTTGACAGGAAGGGGTGGGGGAAATTTAAACTCGGTTACAGGCATGTACACACACACTCAGTTAAAGGCAGTCACACATACAGGCACAGGCACAAACAATGGCTACAGCGACACACACAGACAGACAGTCACATAGGCAGTCACACACACAGACAGACACACAGTAACACACACATAGACAGTTATACACACACAGGCAGGCAGTCACACAGATAGAAAGTCACACACACAGGCAGGCAGTCACACACAGACAGATAGTTACAGACAGACACACACAGGCAGGCAGGCAGTCACATACAGGCAGTCACACACACAGGCAGTCACACACACAGACAGACAGTCACACACACAGACAGTCACACAGACAGACAGTCTCACACACACAGGCAGTCACACACATGGGCAGTCACACACATGGGCAGTCACACAGACAGACAGTCACACAGACAGACAGTCACACACACAGGCAGTCACATACATGGGCAGTCACACAGACAGACAGTCACACACACAGACAGTCACACACAGGCAGGCAGTCACACACAGAGACAGTCACACACACACACACAGAGACAGACAGTCACACACACACACACACACACAAGGACAGGCAGTCACACAGACAGACAGTCACACACACACACACACACACACACAGACAGACAGTCACACAAACAGGCAAACAGTCACACACACACACTTACCTCTTTCCAGTGGATGCAGTTGGCTGATGGGGAAGCATCTTTCCCTCTTCCTGTACAGCAGGGGCTTCGGGAGGTATTAGCCCGTCTCCGCCTCTCGATAAGCCCCGCCTCCGCCGCTCGGTAAACCCCGCCCCCTCTGCCGCGATTTTTTTTTTTTTAAATAGACCTGGGTGGAGAACAATTAATCCTCCAGCCAGGTACCTCTTTTAGCTCCCCTGCACTCCGGCCATGAGTGAGCTGTGTCGGCCACAGGGCGCCCCCTGTTCCATGGCGCCCTGTGCGGTCGCACAGCTCGCACACCCCTAAGGCCGGCCCTGCATTTACTGTACATGTGCATTTTGTTTAGATTTTGTGCACTGTGCATTTTGATTAGATTTTGTATGTAAAAACATACTTATACATATTTAGTGATCACGGGATGAATGCCAAGGGGTTAAAAGTATCATCTATACTAATGCTCGGTCACTATGTATAACACTCATCCCAAAGCCAAGATTGCTTTAAAGGAGGGTGTAGGATTATTCATAGCCCCCTCCCCTCCTCCCTTGCTCCTCTTACATAGGAACACAACTCAAAAAGAAAAAACTCAAATTCATCAAGTTCATACTATTGCATATTCCTGTTGCTGCTATTTTTTTTTTAAATAAGGTAGAAACAAATCAAAACAAATCCTTATTAATTTCAAATCATCAGTGTGGTTTCTCCTCCGACCAACACGTTATTAATAAATAGTAAATTTTCCTATTAATCTTGTTGATAAATAATAATATATATTTTTAAGAATTTGTTTTACTTTATGTTTCCTCCAGCTAATATCTCTTTCTGCTGTGGTACGTGATATTTCTTTCCCTAAAATGTTAATTTAGAACCTCTTGCACATTCCTGTTAATGAATAAGTCACCAGAGAGACCTCCATTGACACTATATGAATTTGTATTATGTTATCATATTGCGTCAAAGAAGCACCCTTTGATGTTAAAAAAAAAATGTTGTAGGTTTCCTTTAGAAGCAAAATCTTCCATTCCCTTTGTTATTTTTTTAGTCTGCCTCTTCACTTTTCCATTTCCATTAAGTCCTTCTTGAAAACTAATGCCCAACTACACCTTATACCAAATAATTAAATATGATATTTTCATCAGATGAATAATCATTGTATGTATAATGGTGTCCTGCTGGCTTCTGCAGCCTCTGAGTGACATTTCCCTTTGTTGCCTTACCTATTGTCTCCATTTACTCCCAAGCCATTATCATTTTACTCCCAAGCCATCCTAGAGTGTAAAGCGTGTTCATATTTGGTACCTAACTTAATAGCACAGCCTTTAACTACATTTCACATGGCACATGTCTGATCACATTAGCTGTGTGTAGGAGATTAGCTGTGTACTAGTGTTTAGAAAGGTTTTAGGATTTCCATTCTTTTATTAGGTGTTTGATGGAGCTACCTGTGTTTACCTGGGTTTTGTGTAGCTGTGTTTTATGTGTTAGTTGTGTCTATATTTTGGGATTTACCTATTTTCTAGTGTTATTTGAAAGTGTTACTTGTATAATACAGTTAAATGTATTTTAGTTGTTGGTGGGGTTTTCCTGTGTTTCTGTTTGTAGCTCTGTTTTTTTTTTTCATCATTGGTGGGTAAGGTGATAAGCCACAAACACTAAGAGAAGATCAAATTAATACTTTGAGAATGCAAAGGAGCAGAGTGTGTTGGTGGAAGTTAATATGATAATATTCTCTATTCCGTGATAGGTGTAGGTTGAGTAAATAGCTGTATGTTATAATAAAGAATTAAAATGTGGAACCTGCGATTATGTGGCATTTGTATAGCAATTACTCTTATACGTACGTTCTGTTGTGTTTGAAGCTTATCAATCTAATCAGCAGCAATAGATGTCTATAATGTTAGGGTAGAAAGAGATGCAAAAAATTGACCTATAGTCTATACGTCTATACGTAACCACGATGCATTCTCTATACAGGTTCCATTATCCCGGCGGATGTCACATGATGAGATTGACATGTTTCCAGCTCGTTCTTCTCCGCTCCTGCTCAGGTGGTCTTCCTCAGATGATGTTCGAGGGGGGAATGGATCGAGCCGGGGTGGTAGTCCCTCTAGCCCCCGTCGTGGTTATGATGTACAGCCCTGGAGTCGCCACCCTCCCTCTCGTAGAGAGGGTGAGGATGGACTTACTTCCCTGCAGCAGTTTTTGGCCGGTGGTCTAGGTGGCCCAGCAGGATTTGGTGGGGGAATGCATAATTCTTTCTTCCGGGATGAAATAACAGCATTTATTGATGATACCCCCTGCCCCTCACCTATTGGGACACCCCACAGAGTTCGGGCAGCACCACGGGCCTCTCCCCTCCCAAGGAGGGGGCTGGAAGGGGGGGTGGCATGGGGAGCTTCAGGTGAGAGACGTCTATCCCTTTGTAGTGCTCCACATGGAGTCCCAGAATCACGTAGAGCCTCACTCTCTGAAAAGGGTTCTAGAGGTCGCCCTTAATATAGAAGAGAGGTAGTATACTGAGAGATAATAGCTCCTATCTACGAGCTCCTACCAAACTGGGTAACAAACCTGCACGGGGACACACCCCATCCAATGAATACCTTGTTCTCAGGCAAACCTGCTGTTTGTGGGGGGCAGAGGGGTTGGAGGGGGTCTAACTTTACACTACTTATGCCCCTCATGCCCCCTTCATACCCCTTTGCCCACTACACACACAACAAATATACTGGAAAATGAGCCAAAAGATGACAAAATAAATTGTGATTTGAATAGAAAATCCTGTGTATTTGAGTCATTTATTTTATAAACATGGACAAATATGTAAACATATACACAAATACGTAAACATTCATATATATACGTACAAACAAGTATCTGCACACACATAAATGCCCATATATACACACAATCAAGCAATTATGAACACAAACACACACCAATGCACAAACACCTATGGACACCCACACAAACATCCATAGACGCACAAACACAAACAACAATACACATAAACAGACACAGACACATGTACAAAATAGACCCTTTTCTTTAAAGGAACACTCCGGGATAGATGAAGCCACATTTTCAATGAGTTATATAAATAATCATTTTAGAAATGCAAAAAAAACAAACAAACAAGCAAAAAAAAACAAACAAAAAATAAGTAAATTTGGAGTCCAGCATATGAAGTGAACTCTGCCCAGATTGGCAAGTTGCTCAGTCAACTGAGATGCTCCCATTATATTCACAGACGCTCAGTCCCTACCAATAATCTATTCAGAGTTTTGGTTTACCTTGTATAGAATTACAAAAATCACACACAGTCACATACATAGACACACAATCATATACGCTGTAGCATACATAGACATACAATTATACACACTAACGTACATAGATGCACAACTTCACACAGTCACATACATAGAGACACACAGTTAAATACATATAGAGATGAACACACAATTTCATAGGCATTTTATTGTGTCTATGTATGTATGTTATAGACTGTCTATATATATATATATATATATATATATATATATATATATATATGTGTTATTGTGTGTCTATGTTTATATGTTATTATGTGCCTATGCATATATGTTATTCTGTGTCTCTGAATATATGTTATTGTATGTCTATAAATATATGTTATTCTTTGTCTGTGGATATATATTATTGTGTGTCTGTGTATATATGTTATTCTATGTCTCTGACTATATCCTATTGTATATCTATAGATATATATTATTGTTTATCTGTGGATATATGTTATTTTCTGTCTGTGGATGTCAGTTATTGTGAGCCTGCATGAGTAATGTATCTCACAGTCTACATGAGTATTAATTATTGTCTGCAGTATTGTGTCTAGATGTGTGTAATGTATATCTGCATGAATGCTAATGTGCATCTATATACGTGTGACAGTGCGCATCTGTGTTCCATGTTGTGTCAATGTATATGTTCTACTGCATGGGTTCCCAACATTTTTACACCAGAGGACCACATTCCCAAATCACATTTGATTTGCAGACCAGCACTAAACATTAAACAAATTAGTGACTACATCGAGATCTTTATAAATTGACCAATGAAGGAATAGGCCTATAGTTATTAATACAAGCTGTTAAACACTGTAGCATAACAAGGAAACTGTATGGATGTAGAAATAAGAACTAGATTATTTTTCATACAATTTATTGGTCACAATTAAACTATAGATATATTCAGTAGGGTTTTGGGCAGTGAGGATTGCAGCTAAGGTCAGTAAATACTTCAGCTGTTGAGACTTAATTTCCCATGACTCTCCGCCAGCCAGCCAGGCAGTGTAAGCAGGGAATGTGAGTACCTAACAACTGGTGTGCCAAAGGTTAACTGTTATACCATCATAGATAGGTACTGCAGCGGCTGTGGAATGCACATCTCATGATTCTCAGCCATCCATTTGATTGGCTGAACATCATGAGAAATGTAACAATAACATCTGGAAAGGTTAGCCACTGGTGCTGCATAATTAATAATTTTCCCACTTTGGCTCTAAGTCTTTATGTCCCTTTTTACTACTTTTTTTTGTAACACCTCATAATCTTTGCTGTGCATCACAGAGCTATACCATACTACACAACATTAACTTGTTTATCATTATCGCAATAGTAGCTTACTGTTGACGGGGCTGTGGGAGAGGTGGGGGCACTTCTGTCTAAACAGCAGGATAATTATAGATTGGGATAATTGTGGCTAATTTTTACCATCACAGCTATTGTAAACTAAAGTTCTCATGTTGCACAGGTACATACCTGTCTTTTAGCTACTGCGACCATCATCATATTTTTCCTGTAAATGGGTAACTAAAATTTACCTCCCACCAGGAAACCCCTCTCTTGAGCCAACAAAGGTAGGCAATGGATGGGAGGAATTGGTATAGGAGAGGGGAAAAGGTGGGGGGGAGTATATTTTGCCTCCCCCTGGAAAAAATCCTGTGGACACCCATGTGCTCAAACATAACCCAAGTCAGGTGACTGAGTAGCAGAGTACCAACGAAAGAAGAATATTAATTCAACAATGATGTAATAGAGTAATAGAGCCTTGCTTGTTCGTGATTCCTCTCTCAGCTGGCGGCTGTCTCACTTTACCTTCTCTATGCTCAGCAGACAGCAGCGAAGGTTGGAAATTAGATTAAACGTGAAACATTTTAGATAATCGCAGAAGCGAACCACCTGAATATATACAGTGGACCACAAGTACTAGTGTGTGATTGTGTTGCTAATTAGGTTGGTGTGTGGTTATGTGTGGATAATTCTATCTGCCTGTGTGTCTAATTAAATGTTTGCAAGTAGATATTTATATATGTGTGGCTAATGGTTGGATAAATCCTGTCATACTCATCAGGCCCCAGGCAAAAGCCCAAAATAAACTAGATACTAGCACTTTTGCCTACACTCTAATGCAGTGGGAAACCATTTAAAACTGAAGAGGGTAATATAAGACAGGTGGTTTAAAAAAAAAATCCTGTCATCAGTGATCTCTTTATTGTTTTGATATGATATTTTTCAATAAAAGTTTACATTTCTGTATATATTACACCATTGGCATTTGAACGGAACATGAACTTCATCAGAGATACAGTAGCTGGATGGCTAAGGATCATATGAAGGAGAATCCATTGTGGGAACGCACAGCGATTAAGGTTCCATACAATTGTAAGAACATTTTGGTCAGGTGTGCCTAATGAGTTTTTGTTATTTGACTGGTTCACAGGGTGGAATAGACACATTACATTCATATTGTAGGCAACTACTTTAATAATTTACCATAACATAATTACCTTTCCCAATACATTATTACAAATGAAAAATGGGTCTCATGAGTTAATGCTGTGCATATAATTTCAGTCCCTCGAAGGGGGAACTGTTACCTCACAAGATTTTTAAAACTGTATTAATGTATCCTATATTTAACAATTAAGTATTTGGGAGGTTTGAAAAATAAATATAGAAATCCATCTTTATCCTGCAGCTGCATGCCTCCATCTTAGCTCCCTGTCAGTCATTGTTATAAGCTCTGTCCTTTACACCTGGCCAGGGCCGGCGTGTCCTATAGGCAGTTGCCTAGGGCACACCGGCCCGGGGGGGGTAAGTTTCGAGTAAACCTGCAGGAGGGAAGCGCACAGCGCTCCCTCCTGACTCTGTGTAGCATGGCCAGGTGGCGCGGACCGCGATACAGGAGCTTGTGTTTCCTGTGCCCAGCCAGACTGAAAGGAAGTGCTCTCTCCGTGAGCACTTCCTGTCAGTCCGGCCGGGTACAGAAAGCACATGCTCCTGTACAGCTGTCCGTGCCGCCCAGCCACGCAACACTGGGAAGGCAGGGGAGACGGCACAAAGATGGGACAGATGGGAGAAACCACTAATGGGGGGGGAGAAGAGACACTAAGGGTGAGGGGAGAAACCACTAAGGGAAAGATGGGGGAGGGAGACCACTAAGGGAAAGATGGGGGAGTGGAGCCCACCAAGGGAAAGATGGGGGGGGGGGGCTGGAGAGACCAAGAGCCAAGAGGGGGGAGAACTCTAATGGACGGAGGGCAGGGGGAGCACTATGGGAATGGGGAGGGGCCAAGGGAGAGCACTAAGGGTCATGGGAGAGCATTAAGGGAGGGGAGCAGGGGAGAGCACTAAGGGACAGAGATGCAGGGGAGGGCACTAAGGGACAGGAGGGCAGTGTAGAGCACTAAGGGATAGGGGGGCAGAGGAGATCACTAAGTGACGGGCGGCAGGGCCGGACTGGGAATTAAAAGCAGGCCTGTAAAAAAAATATTTACCAGCCCCATAATGCGTCGTGCCAGCATAGTGTGCAGATACAGAGTTAGAACAGATAACTTAAAATTAAAAAGTACTTCAACGTAAAAAGCGCACTCATAGGCTTCAAAATAAACAAAAGTGCAGATTTATTTTAAGCAGACGTGCCTTTGCATGTAATCAATGTTTCAGTCCAACTACCTTGACATATTAAGGAAAGCTTGTTAATGGGACTGAAATGGTGAATGTATGTAGGGCACAACTGTAAAAAATGTTTATTTTGAAGTCCTGTGGGTGTGCTCTTCACTTTAAATATGTTATTGTGCTGGAGTATGCACCTAGCAACAAGACTGGGCCAATATCTGCTGCTCATTACATATGGTACATATTAATGACATTCCTCTGTGTATTATGCATATATAAATGTACATTAATATGTGTAAATATAATAGATATATATATATATATATATACCAGTGACGGATCCAGAGCCTGAGCCCAGGAGGGGCACTTGTAGATTATTTAAAGAAATATTCCATGCACAATAACCATTACTCCTCTGTGTAGTGGCTATGGTGCCAGGAGTGTCGGCACCCCCTCCCAGAGTAAGTAGTCAAACCGTTTAAGAACAGCTAGGATATGGGGCTGTAGTAGGGTATAGGAGTAGTGGTGCAATGTGTGAGGGGTGCAATGTGTGTGAAAGGT